ATAAGCTCAATACTGTGCTGAATGGCGTGAATTACGTTTGTACGTGATAATATTGAGAACTTTTCAACAATATTTCAGATTTTTTCAGAATGTTCTGTAATATTCCAAATTTTCCAGAACATTTCAGTTTTTCCAGAATGTTCTAGAACATTTTATAGTTTATAAACTATAAAAATAATACAGAACATTCTAAATAGTTCTCAAAATTCCACGAACGATCAGAGTTCCATATATTCAAACACTGAAAATTATTAATTAAGATTAGTTGAAATTGAATCCTCAGAGAAGGGATGTTGAGATCAATAGGCACGCTGGAAGATGGCTTGACCCCGTGCAAAGATGCTGATGTCATTAGCACCATGAAAGCGTCATATGAAGGTTGTAGTTTTGGCACCGAAAGTCTCACAAAGTAACTGAGCACTTGGGTGTTTGTCGATTTGATAAGGTCACACTCGCTACCCACTCTCATTAAATTTGATAAATTATTTTTAAACTAGGATCAGAATATGAACCAACATTATGACTAAGCAATTGTTATTGCAGTTACAGTCAGAAAACCAGGCCCTGGTGCACATTCATAGTGTGAGTAGACTGCAAAGAATTACGAGGCAATCGCGGAAGAGGAATAATGGAGAATAGGGCAAAATACTTACAGTAAAGCTAGGTCATCAGCCCCAGGACTTATGCAGAAGCCGCATTTCTCTTAGTACATCGGTGTCAAATTTTTTGGATGGCTTGGTGTAGGCAAGTGGCGGAACATTGGCTAACCTGGAATGACATGATTTTTCTTTTAAAACATTTATAAAACATGTATTTTTAGCGAAACAGTATATTGTTGCGCGCCATAATGAATGTCTGGTACATGGCAAGTTTCCACTCGCCCCATCTAGTATTGAGTAGCAGAACTAGGAGAGCTTTCTAGAAAATTCCACACTAGAACTTTTGGTTTTGCAATATTTTGTATTTCTACAGCGATCGATATTTTTTATCACGAGCCGCTGTACTCACAAACTACAGTAACCCACTCACGACGGCGGCCGAGCCCGAAGTGAGTCAAAGTGTATCTGTATTTAGCAAAACATATTACAAGGCTGCTCAAGCACTGAACATTTCAGAATTTCTCAGCCGAAATTTTTTTATTATAACTAAACAAAACAAAACTAAAGTCATTTACATTCCATGGATACCCACATGATAGATGCAGATATTAAAAAATAGATTGAGTTGAACAATTGATATTTTCAAAAGTTATCGTGTTTACCCCTCCATGCAGACTTGATAAATCTACACCATAAGCCACTAAAACCACTTTAATTAAAACACGAATTGAGTAATGCGATGTCTTTTACTGTTGAAAGTATATTTTATTTATGAGTTAAATCTACTTACTCTAGAGTGCTTTGAGTATTCAATACTCAAAGCTAGAGTGCCTCAAATACATAAATCTATACATTTATGTTTTGAGGCACTATGGATTTATTTCTACCTTCTTTACTTTGGTCGTCAGTTTCTCTAAAATAAGTCCAAATAGTAAATCTCCTGCCGCTCATTTTCATCATATAATTATCAATTTTCACTAAGAATAAAATTCTTACAGCTCTTTTTCACCAAGAATAAAGAGCCGTGGTAGCTCAGATGGTTAGCGCTCGCTGTAAATTTCACAGTGATTGTTAATTGCAATTTTAAATGCTGATTTACGTGCTCAGCGGTGAAAGAAAACATCGTGAGGAATCCTGCTTGTCTGAGAAATAAGAAAAAAATATTTCAGACATGTGAAGTTCGCCAATAAGCATATTGGGGCAGCACTGTGGACAGTTCCTTGCCCTAAAACCCTTTCAAAAATGAGCGAAAGCCTGTGCCCAGGTGTGGTTCATATATTATATGCTGTAATTTTAACTAAGAATAAAACAACGAAATACTTTTTTTAATACAAGAATAGTCAAAACATAAGCATGTGCAGGCAATTTGCTTAGGACTAGATGATGTAATAACTGTTAGGAGTGGCGGGGGAGCGAGAGGTATAGCACGCGTCACGTAAAAAGAACGCTGGAAGAAAGTGGTGGGAGTGTGTTTGCGCATGGGTACAGTACTATAATACTACGCGGGAAGCAAAGCTCAACTGATGAACCAATAGCGCATCGGTAAACATGCGGCGCGTGGCTCACCCGCCCCGCGCCCTACCTCATACCACCAAGTAGACCGATAAATCGCCTATGCGCAGCTTGACCGCCAGCGTTCTTTTTACGTGACGCGTACTATAGGGTCCGGCGTTAATCCCGCGCGCTTTACGGAAACAAGTTTCGACATAAATTGGTTATGTAGGTACCGAGGTGATTCTGCCGAATAATGTTCGGCCGAATATTCGATTCGGTAAAAATTTTACCAAATATTCGTATTCGGTGAAATCCATATTCGGCCCATCCCTAATAATAATTACTGATGTTCATGGTAAGACAAATCACATTAAAGAATTGAACTCCAATTCAGAAGCTTTAATGTAATAATTGTATTTTTTTTTTTTGATTTTCAAGTCAGTATTTAGTTTATTGAGCAGTCTAAGAAATATGACAAGTTGATGATAACGACTAGAATGTTAATGATTTCTTATATTTACGCGAACACTACACATTGAAATAATACTAGTTTTTACGGAATTTATCGCGTATATTTAACTTTTTAAATACCCGACGTTTCGAACGCTTTACAGCACTCATGGTCACGGGCGGGATTTTTGCACCAATGTAACAATAACCTTTTTTATTTCTAATAAGTAAAATTATTAATTAATAAAGAATTAAAATATAATAAACTAAAAACCCAAAAGTAAACATTGCATGATACACTGAACTTATTTAAGGTACGGCAAACATTCATACAGCACAGTTCCAGTTACTGGGTGCAAGCAACATGTTTCATGTCATGTCAATGTTATAACCCATATATGCCCAGAACTATGTTTTTATTTGGTTCCTTATTTGCCTCATGATTCGAAAACGAATCACAAATTAAGTTTTAATAAAAATTCATTATCTTCCGCGTTTCTAATAAAAGTGCATTCTACCGCCATATAAGTCAAGGTTAAGGTATTATCTTCTAATGGTAATTGAATGTGTCAACTAAACAAACGTTATTTTTCCGTAATGAATCGGTGTAAGTTGTGATCAGTTTACGGCGTGCAGAAATCATGGCGACTTTCACAAAAAAGTAAGTAATTATCCAAATTATCCTTAATTTAGAGGTTTTGCGTATTTCATTATAAAGTAACACAGTTTGAAAATATGTTTGTGTAATTATATAAACTAAATGGTTGTATTCAAATACCTAAAAGCTGTTTTTAAAATCAGTGTTTCGAAAACGATACACTGGGAAAATACACGTATGTAACATACTAAATAAACATTTCTTTATTTCAGATGGAGCAGGCCGTTATCGACCAATGAAATCGTTGATATTGTCCATAATTTGGATTAGGATGATGAAGCGACAGGTATAGACATTTATATTGGTACCCCCCCCCCCCGAGATATATTGGTTTCGGACTCCGATTCGGGCGACGAAACAAATGTAAGTTTCGATAATTTATCACGTAGACAACTTCTGGCTCCTCCTGAGCTGGTGTTTCATGCGAATAAAGACAATGATAACAGCGAGTCAGATGATCTTTCGCTTTCAGCCTTAGCTAGTCGAAACACAAAATCGGACGTGCCTTTATCAGGTCAACCAGGACAGCCACAAGTTCGTAAGTGGGTGAAGCAAAAATTACGGCTTAGAATCTCTGAGAACAGCAAGTAGGTTGGCGTGGATCATTTAGATGATAATGTAGGCACTTACAGAATTGCAATTAGAAGCAAAAAGTGGTATATCACCATAATTTTCTGGCTTATTGATGAGGCTGTAAACAATGCAACACCTCTTGCGCGACAAATGTGCAATGATGTAGACACACTAGAATTTCGGCGTAGTATTGCTCGAGCCTTGCTCCAAAAGTACGGCATTGATAAGCGGCGGCCGGGTCCTTCCTGCAAGATTTCTAAGATTGTACCTCCCTCAGTGCGAAAATTTTATGCTGAGCACATGATCAGCAAAGCACCAAGCCGCTTGCGTTGTGCTTATTGTTTTACAGTTACTTCATGTCAAAAGTGTCAGGTAAACTTACATGGCAAATGTTTTATAGCAGGTCACCTAAATTCAGTTCTTCAATATGTCACTCCTAAATTTTGCTTAAATTATTTGTTTGTTAGTATTTTAGATTTACGAATATGTCATTTAAAAATAAATAAACACAGAAAAATTTTGTTGTTTCTTTACATATGGGAAGTGCCCAATGTTTCATTTTCGAACAATTAAAAAAAAGGTACATAACTAATTCCAACCTTCATGAAACTAATTATAACGTTATTAGAAACTTATTACCACGAACATCCAAAATTTAGTAAAATCGGAAGTCCAAAATAGTTCTGGGCATATAGAGAGTATTGATCATTTTCGAATCAGAAGACCAGCATAAAATAGCAGCTCAACTCTGCTGTGTTTTGTATGGTGCTTGATGTAGATGTCTATGAGCCGCACAAACCACTTATCATCAGGTAGACTGTGTGCTTGTTTGTTGCCCTATATAATAAAAAATTACAAAAGAAATGTAATTTGTTATCTGTAGTCTCTAATTCTATATTTTAAATCAACTTTCATTGAAATTTGGCTAATCAGCTAAATCAGTTCCTCTTTTTTTAAATCCCCTAAAATAAAGACGGCTTCAACAACATTGAAAAAACTACTGGTTACAAATATTACATTGATGACTGAAAGGCAAAATTATTTAGGAGAATTTAAGTAAAAACTATTAATAAAGAGTAATAACAGACTGTTAAGATTAAAAAGGAATAAAACAATACATTCTGGCACCAGAATGTATTGCTGAAATAGTAGTACCAGAGGAAGCCAATAAATAATATTATAAATTATGAATTCATAATGTGAAATTATTTTATTTTTTGTAGTTATTTGAAGTCCATTCTTATATATAGCTATAAGTAATTTTTGTAATCTTTTGAGTAAATTAAGGAATATCACAATTTTGTTTCAATCATGCATAACAGCCTCTCTTAGTCCAGTACTGAACAAAGGCCTCCTGCATTGATTGAATTGCCACATGACAAGTGGGTTGGCGAGACCACAGTTTACTATTTAGCTGTTATCAGGAAGACACTACCGCCTACCTCCTGCTTTCCCTCTGTCGCCTCTTACACATGGGACAATATGGCGTAGAAGATTTTCTTGCACTGCCACTACACAGTCACAATCTCAATGTTGTCTATATAGTGACAATATAAGGGTTGGATTTAGAATCGTTTGGCAGATATTTGGGGGGAGTAAGGTGTTTTATTTGGTAGAGGTTTGGTCTCCGATTATAATAATACCACTCACATTAAAAGGTAATGCACCATTATCGAAAAAATAAATAAAAACTATTATAACCTTAATACGTAAAGTATGATAGTATGAAACATAGATTACTGACTATATACTAGAGAGCATGAAAAGTGATACATTTTTATTATTAACTGAATTTACGGCTCTGGGTTCTAGACTTTCTGAGAAAAAATTATACAAATTATAAAGATGGATAGCATACAGAATTTTGTGTCTGTGGCGGGAGCAAAGGCAACTTGACTATAGATATCTGATCTGATCGAATCTGTACTAAAATTAAATTAGCATGCCCGAATCCAGGTAGACTTGTCTGCCCTACTCCTAAAGTGTTTTTGTAA